ATCACTAGTGTTAGAAGTGATCATGGTACTAAATTTGAAAATCTTGTATTTATTGAGTTTTGTAATTCTAATGGTATTAGCCATAAGTTTTTAGCAACTAGAACTCCTCAACAAAATGGAGTTGTTGAGAGGAAAAATCGAACTTTAGAAGAAATGGCTAGAACCATGCTTTGTGAAAATAATTTGCCAAAATATTTTTGGGCGGAAGCCACAAATACCGCTTGTTATGTTGTAAATCGAGTAATGATTAGGCCTTTAAAGAAAACTCCATATGAAATTTTCAAAAAAAAGCCTAACATTAGCTATTTTCATCCTTTTGGATGTAATGTTTTGTTTTAAACAACGGTAAAGAAAACCTTGGCAAATTTGATGCTAAAAGTGATGAAGGAATTTTTCTGGGTTATTCCTTAAATTCTAAAGCTTATCGTGTATTTAATAAAAGAACTTTAGTTGTAGAAGAGTCTATACATGTTGTTTTCGATGATAATCCCCTTCCGAAGAAGGATTCTTGTGTTAATGATGATGTAGGTATTGTACAAGCAAATGACGTTAGACATGACGTTGGAGAATCATCATCAAAGGAAGAAACAAAAGATGAGGAAACTCATGATCCCCTCGAGAATCCAACCATTGAAGAAAGGGAAGTATCTTATCCAAGAGAGTACAACTATGTCAAGGATGGTGAAATTATAGGTGATCCATCCAAAGGGCTAACTACTCGATCTTCTCTTAGAAATATTTGTAATTATGTTGCATTTATTTCATGCATAGAGCCTAAAAACATCAAAGAAGCATTAAAGATGAACAATGGATGCTATGCAAGAAGAATTATCAATTTGAGAGAAGTAAAGTATGGACATTAGTTGAAAGGCCTAGTAATAAATCTATTGTAGGTACTAGATGGGTTTTTAGAAATAAGCTTGATGAAAGTGGTAATATAGTGAGGAACAAGGCTAGACTTGTTGCTCAAGGCTATACTCAAGAAGAAGGCATAGACTATGATGAAACATACGCTCCCGTAGCTAGGATGGAAGCAATTAGAACGTTATTGGCATTTGCATGTTTCAATGAATTTAAATTATATCAAATGGATGTTAAAAGTGCATTTTTAAATGGTTTTATAAAAGAAGAAGTGTATGTGGAACAACCTCCAGGTTTTGAAGATTCAAAATTTCCGAATTATGTTTTTAAATTGACAAAAGCTCTTTATGGCTTAAAACAAACTCCTAGAGCTTGGTATGAAAGATTGTCAAATTTTTTAATTGAAAAAGGTTTTTCAAAATGAAAGGTTGACACTACATTATTTTTAAAGCATAAAGGTAAAGATTTATTAGTAGTTCAAATTTATGTTGATGATATAATATTTGGTTCTACTAATGATGTTCTTTGCCAAGAATTTTCTAAGCTAATGCAAAGTGAGTTCGAAATGAGCATGATGGGGGAGCTCTCATATTTCTTGGGACTCCAAATCAAGCAAAGAAAAGATGGCATCTTCATCAATCAAGCTAAGTACGTCAAGGATATGCTCAAGAAATTTGGATTGGAAAATGGGAAACCTTATGCCACTCCAATGAGTTCATCTACAAAGCTTGACTTGGATGAAGGAGGTAAATGTGTGGATGTTAAATTATATAGATCCATGATTAGTTCATTGCTTTATCTAACCGCAAGTAGACCGGATATTATGTTTAGTGTTTGCTTGTGTGCTAGGTTTCAATCATATCCTAAAGAATCACATTTAATAGCCGTTAAGAGGATCTTTAGATACCTTAAGGACACTCCTAGTATAGGACTTTGGTATCCTAGAGACTATAGCTTTAGCTTGCATGCTTTTTCTGATGCGGATTATGGAGGATGCAAATTAGATAGGAAAAGCACCTCCGATACTTGACAATTCCTTGGAAATATGCTGATTTCTTGGTTTTCAAAGAAACAAAATTGTGTTGCATTATCTGCCACTGAAGCGGAATACATTTCAGCCGGTAGTTGTTGTGCACAAGTTTTATGGATGAAACAACAACTTTTTGATTATGGAATTGAAGTAGGTACTATTCCTATCAAGTGTGACAATACTAGTGCTATTTGTCTCACTAAAAATCCCATCCAACACTCTAGAACTAAGCATATTGAAATTAGACATCACTTCATTAGAGACCATGTCACTAAGGAAGATGTAGTTCTAGAATTTGTTGATACTTTGCAACAATTAGCGAATATCTTTATAAAACCCTTAGATAAGGAAAGATTTTGGACATTTAGGAGATAATTAGGTTTAACTGACCTATCTTCACTTAGTGTTTAAAATAATTTTAGCACTTTTAAGAATAAATGAAAAATGCTTATAGTAATAATTTTTTATTGCATTCTTGCTATTAGTTAGGGGGTTTATGATTTTTGGTGAAAATTAATTGTTTGATCAAATGATGTTTAAAGATTAATTTGATTGATTAAACATAATTAATTTTTGATATATGAGTTGTCAATACCACTAGAGCCTATTAATTTAGCATTTTTGAGTGTTTAAAACGGATTTTTGACATTTTTGTGCTTCATGTATCGATGCACTGACAGTGAATCGATGCATCCCTTTGAATATGTATCGATGCATCACCATGATGCACCGATGCATGCCTTGAATATGCATCGATGCATAAGACCATGCACCGATGCATTCGTCGGGTTTTGGGTTAAAATGCTTCATCTTCTTCATTTTTCTAAAACCCTAAAATACTAAACACTCCTGTCGTTCGACCCCGCTCACCCTCAATCTCTATTTTAGCTCAAAATCAACGGAAAATCATCGGATTCTTCAAGTTTTTCATCTCCTAAACCTGGTACAATCATTAAATAGCGCAAAACATCTCCCCATTCCACTCAATCCAAATTTTTCAAGGTAATTTTTCAAAAACCTCTATTTTATTGATTTTTGAACTTAGGACTAGTTTAGATTAGTTCTAGTTTGAAATAATTATCGGGCATTGGTTATATGATGATTCTAAATTAGTTTTAACAATCAATTTCGTCAAAAACACACAATTTCTCAAATTTTTGTTAAATTTCGAATTAAAAAAAATCGAAAATTAGTAATATTTTTTTATTCAATTGTGTTGTTTTAATGAAAAATATACATATTATGATATTATTTTCAAATAGTTTTCAAAACTTTGCCCATTAGGATTATGTTAGAGAACCATGAATTATTAAGGACTCATTTGAGTTTTGGGATTGATTTTTGTGCATACATATGTTTTTAATTGCAGGTGATATCCCATTTTTTTCCTTAATCATGTCAAACCCCAAACGCCCTAGGTCATCCTCGAGTCGATCCAACCAAAATTGACCTCCCATTCCCCAACCACAAAACCCAAACAATCCTCCTAAAACCATCTTCAATACTTGTTTTAACATGCCTAAAAATCAAAGAGATGAATTGTACTCTAGGTACATGAATTCTTTCCAAACCTATAGAATTAGGGAAGAGCGTATTCCTTCACTACAAGCAATGATCAAAAATTGACTTTGAATACCTCCCTATTCTTAGAATATGGAAGTTTGATAAACTTTTTTCTCTTCAACCTATCGTTTTTCACCAACTTGTCAGCATTTTTTATTCCAATGCGGTTTGTATTCAAAACACAACTCAATGTGGAACTATAGTTATCCGTTCCTATCTATTAGGACAATATATTACTATTGACTCCAAAACTATAGCCACACATTTTGGTTTAGATGACGATGGTTTGTATAATGAGAGAGAAGATGTGGAATATCCATATCTTCCTAATGCTAGTGTCAGTACCTTTAGATCTCATCACGATCGTTTTCTCCACTTAATGATCTCTTGGTGGTTTAGACCATCCGGAGGTAGGTACTCTACACTACGTATTAGGGACTTATGGTGGATGCACTGTATAAAGAATAAAAAAGAAAATAAATTTTCCACATATTGTTTTTAGTGAGCTTGTCGATACCATAAACATTATCCCTTCAAAGCATATCGAAACCTTAGTTTATGGTTGTCTTCTAAGCAATCTCTTTATCAAACTTGGCCTAGATGTCTCCCTCGACAATCCTATCCCACTTCAAAACCAAATCAATATCACATCCTTAAAGAAAGCGGATTGGAAATTGGATGAGGTCACTGACTTATGGGTTTTTCGACCCGGTAAGCAAACTCCGGGAGCTAGTTCTTCACGAGCTGCTCCTAGCTCTTCTCGCATTCCTCCACCAGCACCGGATACGGACGATGATTCTGAACTCCAGCAGCTCATGCGAGACATCGATGAGGAAGTTCCCGACGATGCTCCTCCGGCACCGGAACCAGCTCTGCAAGAAGATCAAGTGCCTCCATACTTCCGATCTATCATGGAGACATTTGATTTACGTTTTTCTTCCATTGAATCTCATCTTACTGCAAACAATGAAGCGATGAATCAGCGCTTAGACAATTTGGAAGCTCAACATATGGAGTTTCAGTCGACGATGCTAGCACGCATGGATGCTCTCACTATTGAGATGCGAGCTCGTTACCCTCCTCCTCCTCTCGATCCTTCTATGGATGAATGAACTTTATTTTGATTTGATTGTGTTTGAACTTGAACTTAAAAACTTGGATTGACATGACAAGTTCATTCACTTTGCAGGTAAGGGGTTCTATTAAAATCAAAAAACGAGGCAAATGTCACAGTAGAAAGAGATATTTGAACATACCAAAAGGTTTTGAGGTTTGATGTTCCGATGACACACACCAATGCTGCGATGGATGTAAGACAAAGCCCTAAATATCTACCAAACATCAACTTTTATTAGCATCTGAGATGATTCAATTAAAAAGAACACGAAAAACCAAAATTTTAAACACCAACATGTACATGGTATGTATAAAGTTTCACATATATCAATGGCATCCTTTGGTTCAACTTGTTATAGTGCTTAATAACACGATGAACAGTTTCAGGTACATACTCAAGTACCAAATTGAGATAAAGTTCATCCTTCTCTGTTGTAGAAAAAAAGCAATGTTTCAAAGCCACAACGTTTGGGTGGTCAAGAAGTCGCATTGTTTGCAGCTCACGGTTCTTGTACCTCTTATCTTGAAGAACTTCTTTATAGCAGCAGTTTCACCTGTCTCCAAGCACTTTGCCTTTAAAAAGAAAAGAAAAAAGAAACAATGAACATCCATATAACCTAAAAATGATGATTAGCAAGTTATGCCACCTTTCGCGAAGCAAACAAGTGTTTCTTACCTGGAAGACAACTCCAAATGATCCATGTCCAACCACACGCTCAGCCATGTAACTTATAGTCTGGAATTTATAGTGTTATATTAGAAGATGTCATGTAATGAAAGAAAATGGGGAAGAAGGATAACTAATGTCTAACGTTTAATCACTGCAATTAAATCTCAAAGCAGAGAGAAGTAATACCTGTTTCGGCTGACCATTTCTACCACCAATCGTTGTCACAATTATATGCCCTGTCTCTGTCCCATTACCATCCAACTGTTGCTTCCATTTCCTAAAATTAGAGATGATCCATGAGTCATAGAAGCATTTCGTTTTCTTTTTGGTTTACTAATGAAAGCGAGTAGTACTCGGTAATTATTAAATTAAATGATTAGAAATGCAAGCAGGGAATCACAATGGTAAAAGGAACAAAAAGGAGCGTTCAAAAATGCATACTTTTTCATCTCTAATTTTCATGTCATTCATCTCCTCGGGTAACTTCTCGACACCAGCAGCACTAGATTCTGTTACACCAGAAGTAGGCACCGTGCCCCCAGAAGCCATCTTTAAGACAAAAGAGTGTCCTCCTAATTTTCCACCTCACAGCCAATCATTTATCTACATTGCAAAAGGACAAAAAGATGTTACTAAAACTCAACTGAGACAACAAATATTTAAAACAACCTCTAACATTAACTGCACCATGAAGACAGTACAAACTCACAAATACCCACAAAAAATCAAGTGCAATAAACCCCTTTTACCTATGTAGCAATCCAACCTTAACACACACACACACACACACACAAAACACTCATCCCCTTTTCAAAACCAGCAAGAATCTTAACAAATACCAATTATTTTAGCCAGAATATAAACTGCAACAGTTTTGAGCCCATCAAAGCACAAATTTTAGCTTTTGTCTTGCATATACATATACGTATACTATCAACTTACATACGTATATATTATCACAGGAAATCTCCACATCTAGCTTAAACAAAAGGATTTTAAGATATCATTCAGACAAAAAGGAGCTAAGGAGACTTCAAAAAATATAATAGCAAATAAAATGAAGCATAAACTGAAATAATTTTAGAATTTATTATTACTATTATTATGAATTGGTTTGATTTCTTTTATTTATTTTTCATTATTTATTGACTTGAAGAATAATTATTTAATATAACCTACAAGCAAGATAAGAAATTATTACATATGAAAATTATTATTTAAAGGATAAATTACACAAATAATTCATCGACTATAAAATGCTACTTTGTTAAGTCTTCCGACTATTAAATGTTACAATATTCTTTAACTAAATGACATTGTTCTATAACTTTTAAGAGTAGAAGAATTCAACAAAGTGACGCCCTATAATCGATGATTATTTTATAACTTTTAATAGTCGAAAGATTCATTATAACTTTTAATAGTTTAGAGATTCAACAAAACAACGCTCTATAGTAGAGGAATAACATTTATTCCTTTACCACATAGACCACTTGGTTCGTGCGACTACAAGCAAGGTTAAGAATCACATATGACAATTATTACTTGAAAGGCTTTTAGTGAAGACGCAATGTCTTCCGGCGACTTTTCCGAAGACACACTGTGTTCTCGGCGACTTTCCAAAGACGCATTGTGTCCCAACGACTTCCAACAGGTATTGTAGCATTCACACTAAACCAGAAAATAATTTCGATTAGACCTTATTTCAACGAATAATGTTTTAACAACCCTACAACAGAAAATCAACCCTTCATTGATACAGTTAGGTGGGAGAACTACTATACAAATCATTTTCTATTGGGTCCACCTTTTTCTTAAAAAAATTCAATTATATCACCCTCGTCCATACTCATCATCTGCTCAAAGTTACAATATATTATTTACTAACCACATTAATTCACTAATAATATTAATTAAATTAAACTATGATCGATACAAGATTGTAAAATAAAGACATAATATTAAAAAATTGTATTATTTGATGAAGTAGTTACTTTGGTATTATATTTTAGAGTATTTTGGCATCTAATTTTATTTTGAGATAAAAAGGTCTCTCAATGAATGATAATCAAAGTCAACAAAACAATTAATATTCCAAAATATGAATATTTTGTCTTAAATATTAAACATTAGTTGGTCAAAATGCTAAAAAAAGAATAAGGTCAAAGTGATTATTTAGTTAAACGTTAGAAGTTATCTTACCTAAAATGCTTAAAGAAAAAAAGAAATTAAATGACTATTTAATCAAATATTAGGCGTATTTTTTAAAATTATGCCTAGGAATGGGCACAAGACTCAAACTTGATGGTCTTCGACGAGAGGGTCTCCTTGTGGCTTATGTTTTTTTCTTTCAAAATTCAAGTTTGAGTTGGATCAGGTTTTTAGAAGATAAGTTCGAGTTCAGATTTTGGAAGAAATATTCGACCGACCCAATCCAAAAAAAAATGTAAGTATACATTATATATTTAGAGATAATTGCATTATTATTATTCTCTCTCTATATATATATTCAATTAGATCCTTATTTTATCAAATAAAATTAAAAATATTATATATGTTTATATATTTGTGTTGGATCAAATACATGTTTTATTTTAAAAGACTGGTCGGGTTTTAGGTCGGGTGGAGTCACCATAAACTAGGGTTGAATCAAATTTTTGATGGGAAATGTATTTTTCTCGGGTTAATCGAAAACTCGATCCAACCCAACCTATACACATTCTAATTATGCCTAAAAATAGAAATTAAAATTCTAAAAAATAAAACTTGGAGCATAAAACATAAATTATTATTTAATCACTATATTGCGTTAAATAATATTATATAGTTAATAGAAATAATATTTAATTAAATTTAAAATCAATTATATTTAGATCCATTATAAAAATGATGCTATTTTTTATTACTTTTAATCAATATTTTAAGAGATTCCAAACTCTACAAATGATTTTGGTTTAATAATAAAATCTATTTTAGAAATTTCTAATATTAAGTTGGAGTTTTATCTTATGCAAGTTTTGTAAATTTCCCAAAATTTCTGCAATTGTCTCTCCTCCGCCGCTAAGCTTCTTCCTTGTCTATATTCTTAATTTATAGTTGTTTCGTGGGTAGGGCAATTTCAACCCAACAAATAAAGTTTGGTATTCTTTTGTTTATTTCATTTGAACCCTAATTGGTGCCGCCGTAAACCTTCATTTCTACTCCGCCGCAAAGCTAGACTTCCTTGTCTTTGTTCTTAATTTATAGGTGTTTCATGGGTAGGGCGATTTCAATACTCAATGCCTTAATCGGCGGTTCGCTTCGGTGCCGGTCCATTCATACCTTAATCCAAAGCTCCCAACACAAAGTGCGAGTTTTGTTCGGTGATTGATTTAACTTCCCCAAATTTCGATTTTTTTATTATTATTATTTCCGAAACTTCTGGTTTAGCTTTCCAGAAGCAGCCCCTTTTACAGCCATCTTGAAATTCAGAGTCCCTCCCCAAAATCATCAATGGTAAATCAATTCCTTCCATCTACTTTTGTTAAGTATTATTTTGTTTTTGTTTTGTTTTGCATGTTTTAATTAGGATTTGGGATTGGCAGGTTTTAACTGGCTTAGATTAGCATTATTGGAGGGAAAAATAAGAATTTTGAAAATATTGATGATTTAGACAGAATTCCCAGGAACCCTGTCATGCAAATCTCCCACCTTTCGTCTCTTGCCCGTCAACTACGAGTCACTTGATCACACTTTTGTTACATGCACGAGTAATCCCTCACCTTCCTTACTCTGTCGAGTAATTTCAGTTCATAGCTGCACTATTACCTGAGCATAGCTGTATTGTATGAGATTAGTTCTCCCCTGACCTCAGTCTGGTCTGTAACAACACAATCTGAAAGGAGAGTGGTTGATTTTGATTTTTTTTAATTGCTAGTATTGTACAAATGCTGTATATTTTTTCATGCGAAATCTCTTTATATGTTTTCTATGAAGCTTTTCCCCTTAACTGCCTTGTACAAATTAGTTACTCCCTAATCTAGACGATCATATTATGTTGCCTTTATGCCATAATATTTTCAGGACTAGCGGGGCTGCTCGGCTGCATTAAATTAGATTTTGGTGTCTGCAATCTTGGCGCCTCTTTGCTTTGTGCTATTTTCAGGCCAATAGTCTTGCGCATTTCCTTGAAAATCCTCAGAATTATCTCAATAGGAGAGATGACTACGACTGGTATGAGAAATTTTAAGGAAAAACGGATTTCAAAGAGGCGGCGACTGAGTAGACATGGGCCCAATTGGTCGGATCTCCCCCTCGACATCCTTGAACGTATAATTGGACGTTTGCGTTGGGTAGATCGAAGCCGGATACGAGCAGTTTGCAAGGCTTGGTCAGTCCCAAACACTTGTATTCCTGCTATTGGTGAACTCCCTGGGCAATGAAATTTTGTTGGCGTTATGCCTCTTTGTATCTAATTCAAGGTGAGTGCCGGCTGGACCCTCTTTCCAGAGAGTACTTGTCGAAGAAAGGAGCAGAGGACTAGAGTATCTACTTTCCTTGATGCCCGACCTTGTGCTTCTTTATATGGGTGGGTTCTTTTCAAAGTGTACAGCTTTATTGAAGAAAAAAAAGAGTCCCTCTTTTGTACTCTCCGTTAACAACTGAGGTAATTAGGCTTCCGATTTAGGGGGTCTCCCACATTTCAGGTGGCGACGTCTGCCTTGAATGCAACATCCCCAAAATGTACCATCTTTCTTTTGTGGAGTGAAAATGGAAAAATTTGTATTAAGTTATGTTCTGCCGGTGATTGTTCATGGAAGACTTTTGAGTTTGATGGTTTTGATCGGTTTAATCGTGCTATTGATGCTGCCTATACCAACGGAGTTTATTGTGTTTTTAGAGGAGGTCAATTGGGTGCCTTCAATGTTGAACTTAAAGGTTGGACTATTCTGGTTGATCATTGTCCACTCGTTGATCATTGTCCACTCTCACGAAGTAGTGTGCATTATGCTAAACGCATTGTGTCTGGTGCAGATCTGCAACTGTGTCTGAGCATCTTTGGAATCCTCCTTGATTTTGCAAAGATGAATTGGGTTTATGAAAATGATTTGAATAACCGGGGTGTTATCGGGTGCACTTCTTTCTCTGTTCCAGCAGTGGGGGAAGCAAATGTATTGGCAAATACCATATTCGCTTCTGGTACTTTGATGCACCCCAAAGTTAGATTTTATGGCAGCACATCTCCAAGGCAGTCGAGACTCTAACCGTAAGTGTTTGAGGCAGCAAAGTGCGACAGGATTTGGATTGAACTCCGTTGGGTGGTATTTGGAGAGCCGATGATTTGATTCATGCTGTCTAGTTGAATGCTGCAATGCAAGCCAACCATCAAAGCATTTTTATTTGTGTTTAGATCATTAATTATTCCTGGAACATCATAGTTTTCATGAATGGAGTTTCAATTTTAGTAAGTATTCCTGGTGCTTCATCAGAAGATCTTTGACCTTAGTTATGGGGTTTAGATCATGGAAAGAAGATTTAGCTAAGAATTGATAAAACCATAATAGATTAACTAAGTAATAAATAAATTTAAAGAATTGAAAGTTGATGAAAACAAACC